TATCCCCCACAAACCGCTTCCCCTGAGGAGCCCCCCAGGCCGCCGAGGGGAAGCCACAAGGCAGTGTGCGTCCTGGCACCCGCGTCCTTCAGTGGGGGGAAGCAGCGGGCCTGGAGCGTGGCCCAGCCGGTAACCCTTTGTGGTACCTGAGCATCCCTCCTCCTCCTCGGTGCTTTGACCCCTGCCACCGGTGAGGATCGGCCCGTTTTGTCTCCAAAGGCTCTGCCCCAGAGCGGAGGCTCGAACCCTGTCTCCTGCAGCCCGGGAAGCACTGTTTCAGCTCTGATTCCTCTGCAAGGAGGAAGAAGTCCTGGCCCCTGGGGACCGGTGTCTGGTTTGCTTGGGTGTTGCTTGCAGAAATGCCCCAGGGGTGGGAGGAGAGACGACTGGAGGCGCAAGATGTGCTGCCTCCCAGGTCAAAACTTACTTTGGACTCTGGCTAAACACATGCCCAAAGGGTGCAGCTGACCTTCCCAGGGAGATGGATACGTTTCCTGGCACGCTGGGTTTGCTCTGATAAGGCCTCGTAGCAATGTTTTCGCCAGACCAGAGCTGTAACCTTTCCCTCGTATGGAAAACCTCCAAGTCCACGGTGTCCAGGTGGTTTGCGAGCTGTGCTGCTGTCCTAGAACTCGTCACACGTCCAGTGCTTTGGTGGTGGCTTGCTCCATGCGCTGTGACCCCAGTGAGCAGCAGAGGGTTGGCGAGGATCCCGTCTGCCTGGGCAACGTGTATGCGGGGCGTTTTCCACCCCAGCCACGCCACGAGAGGCCTGTGCCCTCTCCGCTTGGCCGATGCTATTCCTGCTCGTTGCAGCAGCGTGACGCGTGGGAGGTGTGCGGACCCCCAGGGCCTTCCGCCGGGAGCGCACCGCTGCTCCTCGGTGTCGGCTGGGAGCAGCCCCGCTGGCAGGCGCGCGGAGGCAGCGGGTTAGCCAAGTGCAGCTGCGGAGCGCGGAGGGCAGAGTTGTTTTTCTGCGCGGCAGGCGGTGTGTCCTTGTGAATCCCAAATCTGCTGTTCACCTTCCAGTAAAGTTTTTCCAGGAAGGCAAGGCTGGGCACAGCTCCAGTGTCTCGGGTGGACGTGTCGGACGTGTGCAGCCTCCTGTGTTTTCTCCCGGGGCCTTTCTTTGCACCCGGCGCGTTGGTGGGTGCACCCCGGCACTCACCCCAGAGCTCTGCTGCTTCACTTTTATTGATCTCCGGCATACATGAAAGGAGCAGAGAGGGCAAGGATTGATTCTAGACAAATATTATAAAGGCATCTACTGTCCCGCCCGGGAAGGACACGGTTCATTGTAATTAGCATAGTTAAAATATAACCTAATGAGCATGCCACCTCTGGCCTCTGGGCTCCTGCGTCCTCCACGCGGGTAGGCACATCTCTCCCTCTGCCTTCACGAGGGCCTGTGCCGAGGTGCGTGCGTCCCTGTCCAGCTGGCACAAGTGGTGCCCCGGCTGGGGTGTCTGTGCGTGACGTGGCCGGTTTGGTGGGCACCACCAGGACCCAGCTTGCAGAGGAGCTGCGCTGCAGCTGGGTTGGTGCTCCTGGCATCGTACCTGCCTCACTGCTTGCTCCTGCCTGCTCTGCCACCGCCAGCCTCTCTCTTCCAGGGACTCTGACTTGCTGCGGCGCCGGAGAGCCCCCGGGAGCTGTGTCCGAGCAGCTCTCCACGCCTCGGCACGTGGCTGTGGTGAGTGCCCTGCGGCGAGGAAGGGGAGCAGGGGTGCTCGGGGAAGTGGTGCCTAGAGTTTGGCTTGGGCGGAAGAGAAGTGGTGGATATCTGTGGGCTGGCCAAGCTGCTCCCAGGGCTATGTCATGCTTTACATGTCTTTTCCAGCCAGCACTGGTAGGCTATGGCTCCCGTTCGCTGCAGCAGCTGTGGCATCCAGCTTGAAAGTTGGTCTGGCCCTGTCTGCCCTGCTGGGATCAAAAGATGCAGCAGCACGCTCCTCTTGGAGAGGCTGATCTGAAGCATCTGGTGCCTTGTTCTTTCTCCGCAGGGTCAGAGCTGCCCCGGGGAGTGCACAGCTTTAGGCATGTCACGGTGCTCCTCTCGGCTGCCTTCCTCACTCTGCCCAGGGCGGCTGACACTCTCACCCCATTTGCTGCAGAGACCCTGCTTTCAGCTCGGTATCTGCCAGCCGACAACTTCCCTGCATCGAAGGCAGGCGAAGCAGCTCCTTTGGGCTTGACCCATCATGCAGAGCAAAAACCAGCTGTCCAGTCCCTCCTTGGGGCTGGGGTGCTTTGGGCCTTGACTGTGGGAAGCTTTCCCCTCTCTGGACTGGGGCTTCCTGGCAAAGAAATCTGCTGTCCTCTGCTGCCATCTCCTGATGGAGCCACAGGGCGGAAGAGCCCTGCCACCCTCCCTTCTGGGCGCATGGCCCTCAGCATTAGGAAACCCGTCCCGGGCAAGGGGAGAAGCACAGGGCCAGGGCTTTGCTGCAGGAGCCCTTAGATCGCGCAGTGATTGGAGCTGCTGAGGATGCTAAGGCTCACCGCAACACGTGTCTTCTCTTGCAGCATCCCTGAGACACCATGATGTCAAACACAGGCCTCCGGGGCTGCTGCCTGCTGGTGCTGCTCTGCCTCCTCCCGTCCCCACAGGTATGGGCTGGCAGGGATGCTGCAAGCCCACCAGCGCTCTCCGCATCCTCCTTCCTGCAGGACCTCCTGCAGCGGTACGGCGAGAACGTAGCCGTGAAGCACCTCAAGGCCCGCCTGACCCGCCTCGACGTGGGAGTGGGACATGCCAACGTCTCCCAGTTGCCACAGCAGCGTGCAAACCTCTCTCGGGTAAAGCTTGGTGGTAGCTTGTGGGCTGGTGCCGAGTGGCTGTCCTCTGCTGCCTGGGAATCTCAAGGCATGTGTCTCTTCCCTCTCCAGTGCTTCAGCTCCAGGCAGCTTTTTGCCATCCACAACCTGAGTGAGGGCTCCACAGTGGGGCACAGTGAGTTCAAGGAGTTTTGCCCCACCATCCTGCAGCAGCTGGAGTCGGGGGCGTGTGCCTCGGAGAACCTGGAAAACGAGGAGAACGAGCAGACAGAGGAGAGCAGGCCCAGCTCGGCTGAAGGTGAGTGGTGAGCTGGGGTGCGTGAGTGCTGCCCAGCTCTGGACATGCTGCTTAAGGATTTGAAATGCCGTGGGACCTGCAGGACATCTGGGCCCCATTCCAGGCGCTGGGGCACAGGCCAAGTCTGAAGGAGACGAGAGCTATTGAGGCTACTGCAAGAGGAGGGCAGCTTTCTGACAGCAGCTGGGAGTCCCTATGGGTTTCCCTCAGTTTATGTCACAGGCTCCAGCGAGGTGCTGTTGGCTCAGGACTTCTAGCTCTGGAGCTTGGTTTGTCCCCTGATTGCATATGCCCAAGGTCAGAGCTGTTCCTGTAGCACGGCTTGCTGGGATAGCTGCATATCAGGGGCTTACTGCAAGCCCTGCTGGATGGGCGGGGGTGGTTGGGCATGTTTTGGAGCCTGCTGGGCAAATTGGGCCCTATCCCACCAGCCTCTGGCCACCAGCTGATGCTAAATGAGCTTCCATGCGTCCAGGCAGGCCCTGATGCTGCCCAAGGACTTGAATCAGCTGCCATGAGCATGGCATCTGCTTTTCCACCCCCTGAGGCTGGGGTGGGCTCAAGAAAGCCTTTTTCAAGCAACTCGGAGGCAGACAGCCTGTTCAGAGGACTTGTTTCCTCCCCTCTCCCTGCCCCTGCACCAAAAACGATGGTTTATGTCACAGTTGAAGCGTCCGGAGCAAAGGGAGAGATGCTCTGGTGCAGCGTGGCCAGCCCCGCAGTAGGGGCATAGTCCTGGAGTGAGCCTTTTCCGCCTGCCTGGATCCAGGGCAGGGCCGTGCCGGCGGTCTCCAGAGCGGCTGGTGCTGGGCCCTCCTGCCTTCCCCTCACTGAGAGCCTCGGTAATGTCTGGCCCTCGTTTCTTCTCGTTCCGCAGTGTGGGGCTTTGGTTTTCTCAGTGTGTCGATGATTAACGTAGCCTCCCTGCTCGGAGTCTTCATCGTACCGTGTACCGAGAAGGCCTTTTTCAGCCGGGTCCTCACGTTTTTCATCGCGCTGTCCATCGGCACGCTGCTCTCTAACGCACTCTTCCAGCTCATCCCAGAGGTGCGGTAGAACGTCCCTGCCTCTCTCCTGTCCCAAGGGCGGCTCTCCGGGCGCCTTCTCTGCCTCCACCCTGCCGAATTGAATCGCTCTCTCCGGGACCTGAGGCTGAGGGGATGTCTCTCTCCACGCTGGCTCCCTGCGCAGGGGCTCCACAGGGCTTTCGTGCCCCTCTGAGCACCAGGAAACGCTCTTGAGTGTGCAGGCAGCGCTGGAGAAGCCGTGCCATCCATCTCTCTCAGGGAGCAAAGGTGGCCCCAGGTAGCCACAAGGCTGCTGGCAGGGTCCGAGGTGCGTGAAGGTGCTAGGAGAAGCTGTTAGCTCCCTCCCGTGGGCTGTGTCTGGTGGCCCTGCTTCAAAAAGGAGCTTCTCCCTTTCCCTGTCCTCCCTCCAAGGGATGTGTTATGCTCTGCTTCATGCAGAGAGCTGCCCAGCGCCTGGCCGCTGAGACGCAGTGGCGCTAGTGGTATGAACAGCGTGGAAAGGCCTATGTGAAAGAGGAAGAATCAGAGTGTAAAAGCACACAGAACATCCTGGAGAAACACCAGCTTCCTCCTGAATCAGCAGGCTTTTCTAAGATTTTTACTTGCTTTTTCAATTTTTTTTGCTGATTTGCAAGACTGATGTTCCCAGAAGGACTTGTGCTTACGTGAGGTTTCCTGGTGCTCTGATGGGTCTGACAGATACGTTGCAAATTAATTGTGTTGTAATTGTACAGTTCTGGAGTTGAATAAATATATCCACGTGCTCTCAGATTGGGTGCCTTAGAAATGCATGTGCTTCCCAGCCTCCGGTTCAGGTGGCCAAGCAGAGCCCTTTTGGCTCCTGTGGACAGAGGAGCTGACCGGATCCATGTTCCCGAGCAGCCAACCTCAAATCCGTGCGCGTAAGATGCAATCTTCACCTCTGAGCAGAGTGTCCTTCGCTGGGTTCTGCCCCGCTGCGTTACCTGCCACGAGCCTTGCTCTCGGGCAGAGCCTCTTGCCTCTTCTGGCCACCTGCCTGCCAGACAAGAGGATGTTTTTCAAGGCTCCTTTTCAACTCCAGAACTGCAACTTTTATTCACTGAGCATAAAAACCAAGTGCCTGTATTTCCTGGTCTGCCAGGAACTGAAATGACTCATGTACGCTCCACCCTGGTGACAAAATGCTTTGAACCGGAGTGCCCCGGCATGGCTCGCAGAGCCGCGTGGCCCAGTTGGCTCCGCATGGGCTGTCCATGGATTTCTCCTCCTCCGGGTTCTGCTGGGGGACGAGGATGGAGTGTGCAGGATGCTTGGGGGACCTTGGGGCTCTGTGGCACTGGAACAGCAACCCGATGCCCCTCAGGGCAGCTGCTGCTGGGGAGGTTGGGGGCTCGGGGAGCAGGGCCGGCATGCCAGCTTTGAAATGGCCTGGCTGCCAAAACTTGGCTCTGGACTGGGCGCTTAAAGAGAGTGTCTTGCTTAAAGGAAGAGCTCCCTCCCATTTGTTTGGTAGGAGCTAGACAGTGGGGTTTCCCCTCGGACCTTTCCCAAAGGGCTGAAGAGTTCGTTCCAGAGCCACTTTGCACCAGGTTCGCCCCTCTTGAACCAATTCCAGATGAATGAGCAATCACTAATGAATGTCCTCTTCTCTCTCCCCTCTCCCTCCCTCCTCTCTCTTTCCTTTCGGCATGGACACATTTCTTCCCCTCCCACCCCTTCCCTACATTGATCTTTTTTTTTTCCACTCTGACAACTTCCCTCGTCCGATTTCCCGGGGTGGGTTTGGCATGCACACCACAGTCTGGGGTTACGGTTTCCTCTGCGTGACCGTCATCTCCCTCTGCTCCCTGGTGGGGGCCAGCGTGGTGCCCTTCATGAAGAAGACCTTTTACAAGCGGCTGCTCCTCTACTTCATAGCTCTGGCGATTGGAACTCTCTACTCCAACGCCCTCTTCCAGCTCATTCCCGAGGTATGGTGAGGACCTTCGGGTCGGTCCTTTTCTCTGTCTGGGGCTGTTTCTCTCTCTGGGCCCCCGCTGGCTGGAGAAGGGGGAGCCAGTGGAGTCAGAGGGGAACTGCAAGCGAGAGTTGCGTGGAGAGTGAGGTACGGTGGCTGGAAGCCCCTCAGGACCGTGATCGGAGCTGGAATTTCGCAGCCCTTAAGCCCCACTTCCAAAGCGAATCACTCCCCTTGTGCCAGGGAGACCTCAGGTCTACTTCAAGCACAAAAGTCCTATTTTATTGCTGTGTCTAGCCCTGCAGGCAGGTAGCCTTTGTGTTAAGACAGTAGAGGCTTTTTAAGCCCGTTTTTAGCATCCCTGCCCTGTTACGGATCGATGGATCTGAGGCCTTGGGGCACAGGCTGCTTGCCTGGGAGAGTATGGAAGATTAGGTGCATGAAGGTACTTTCTGCACCTTCTCCTGAAGCAGCCGCTGCTTAGAGGGAGGTCAGAAAGCAGCAGCAGTATCGCCCCAGAGGTGCCACAGCAAAGGGAGATGAAGATGCTGCTGGAGTCCATTTCTCAAGCCTGTCACTTGGCCTCTTTGTCTGCAGGCCTTTGGATTCAACCCTCAAGAAGACTATTATGTTTCCAAATCTGCTGTGGTGTTTGGGGGTTTCTACCTGTTCTTTTTCACAGAGAAGATCCTGAAGATGCTCCTGAAACAGAAGGACCAGGTGAGGCTGAGGTTGCTTGGGCCACTGTATCAATGTCCTGCTCCGTTGTGCCGGGAACCAAGGTGGCAGTATGCAAAGATAGGTCTTTGCCTGCCGAGCAGCTTTTACTTAGATTTGGGAAGGGGTGGTCATGCTTTTTTAATAGCATGCTCTCATGTCCTGACTAGTGTGTTTCAGCCTAACTTAGTTAAATCAACGTGCCTTAGGCATGTGAGTGGGAAACTGCAATAACATGGCTGACCCTGTGAGCCCCCTGTCCCTGCAGCATCACCACGGGCACAGCCACTACAGCCCCGAGGCCCTGCCTTCCAAGAAGGACCAGGAGGAGGGCATCACCGAGAAGCTGCAGAACGGGGACTTGGACCACATGATCCCTCACATAACCGGCGAGCTAGAGTGCAAGACCCCCTCTGGGGACGAGAAGGTTGTCGTAGGCTCCCTGTCTGTCCAGGTTAGTGTGTAGCCCTGTGGGGTTGCGGGCGGGAGATCTCTGTGGCCACCCGCAGCCAAGCAAATGGAAAAAACTGCCCATGAGTGAGCAACAGTGATTTAAACTCTATTGCATCTGCCTGACAAACACCACCTCGGGCAGTGCAAATCATGTCCAGTTGGTTCAGCAAGACCCTCAGTTCAAGCCTAGCGCGGATTTAATCCAACAAGGCATATGTTTTCAGCAAAGGCGTGTGTCCAACAGCTCTCTGCTTCCTCATCCAGGTGCCCCAGGGCCTTGAAGCTTTTTGGCAGAGCTAGGGAGGACAGGTGAAGCCGTAGCTGTTCTGGGGTGGGTGCCGAGTGATGGTCCTCATTGGACTGGTTTGTTGCTGCGCTCCCATCGCCTGCGTGTCTGGGTGTCTTGGCAGGACTTGCAGGCCTCCCAAAGCGCGTGCTACTGGCTCAAGGAGGTGCGGTACTCTGACATCGGCACGCTGGCGTGGATGATCACCTTGAGCGATGGCCTCCACAACTTCATTGATGGACTGGCAATCGGGGCATCCTTCACCGTCTCTGTCTTCCAAGGGATCAGCACCTCCGTGGCCATCCTCTGTGAGGAGTTCCCTCATGAACTGGGTATGTGAGGCTTCAAGGTGCCCTTGGTGCTACGAGGGTTCTCAGTCCTACCCTTCTCAACACTAACTCTGCCGCTTTCCTTGTCTAACGGGGTATCAAAGGTTGACGCTTACCCGTTGTTTCTCGAGAGGAAGAGGAACGTGGGATGGAATAAACACAGTACTGGTGAGGGGAAGGCGAGGCAGTAAACTACACTGAGTAATCACAGCTCTAAAAATAACGAAGTAATATGATGTCTGAGATTTAAATTTAGATTGAGACATCTAAAAAAAAAAAAATCTTGTCTGCTTGGGTGGGGGGAGGTGGGCGGTGGTCTGAGTTTGAATGCCAAGGGTGGTGCACAAGCACAGCCAGCAGTTTGCTGGCAGGCAGCAGTGCTCTTGGCGCGGTCAACGCTTGGCACTACTGGCCAGGTGACCCCGTGCTCAATGGCCTGTCATCTCCTCTGTGGATGAGCAGGGCTGGAGAACAGGGAATCCTCTTCCTTCCTTAGGACCCTAGATTTTTGAGGCAGGCTCTTTAAAACAAGAGCAGACATGCCAACCTTCTTAAAGTGCTTGCCAAGCTAAATGGGGAAGGTAGCACGTACAAGACAGGTTTCCAGGAAAACTCAGGGCAATTTGATCTCAGGCAGAAGCAAGTGCTGAATATGACCGCCTCAGTGCTGTCCTGAAGCGTCTGTCAGCATTTGCTGCCAACCCCCTGCATGCCTGGTGACTGTGCCCTCCTTCCTCATCTTCGCTGTCCTCTTCTCACCCGTGCAGGGGACTTTGTCATCCTGCTCAATGCTGGGATGACCATCCGCCAGGCACTCTTCTTCAACTTCATCTCGGCCTGCTGTTGCTACGTGGGGCTGGCCTTCGGGATTGTGGCCGGCAGCCACTTCTCTGCCAACTGGATCTTTGCTCTGGCTGGAGGAATGTTTCTGTACATTGCACTGGCTGATATGGTAAATGCCAAACGTGGGAGCTGCTGGGCGTGTGGTGAGGGCCTTGCCATATTGGTCTTTTGTGTCTTGAGGAAGGGCTGAACGGCCTCAGTGCTTTGCCTTCTGGACTGGGAGTGCAGTGATTTGGGGCTGAGAACCCTGGGCTAGTTGGTGGATGTCCACCTAGACTGTGGCACTAGGTGGGAAGCAGTGTGCAGGGGGTGGAAGCAGGCGGGAGGTTGGAGGCTGCTCCTGCCACTGAACCCTGCCATCACTCTCTTCCCCCAGTTCCCCGAAATGAATGAGGTCAGCCGGGAGGACGAGCAGAATGGCAGCACGTTGATCACCTTCGCCATCCAGAATGCAGGGCTGCTGACGGGGTTCACCATCATGGTACTGCTCACCATGTACTCTGGCCAGATCCAGATAGGGTAGGACCAGCCCATCTCGGAGACCTGTATCAGTTTTTCGTTTGGGGGGGAGGGAGGGAAGGGGGAATTTTCTTTTTTTCTTTTCCTGCTGCAAGCATACGACGGTACCTGTGCAGGCACTGACAGCACAAAGCACTACAGAAGAAGAGGCATTGCTTTTAAAACTATTCCATAGACTTCATATTATTTTGATTCAAGGGTGAGGGGAGGCTTAATCCCCTTTGCCCTAGGACCGAACTGACAAGAGGATCTCTTTCCAGTGTCATATCCTTTCCCTCCTCTCCTCACATCTCCTGGGAAGGATGGAGTTGGGATATAGGAGCTCCTCTAGCCATGTTGCTCTCCTTATTTTTGGAGTGGTCTGATGGGACATGATGTTCTCCCAGCCCCTTTGCAGAGGGTGAGGAGGACGAGGGCTGCGGGATACAGGGCTAGCGCTGGACGCGAGCTGCCTCTGCCTGCTCATCTACCAGGGAATGGATGCACGGGGCATGAAAAGTACCACTGCAAAGAAGGGGAACGGAGAGCCGCCGTGTTCCCAGGCATCGCACAGGGAGTTGGTGTTTCTCTCCTGCGTGGGGAGGTGGTAGCGTTCCTTCGGGAGCACAGAGACCAGGACAGGGTCTCCTTCCTCTCGGAGAGTTATGTACCAGCCAGGTCCTCAGAGCTCCGCTCAAAGAACAGATGGCCCAGGGCAAGAGGAGCCGACGGAGGCTCGGGGAAGATGGCTCGTGATTTGAGCATCATCCTTGCTGTCTTCAGAAACAAGTCTCCAGAGCTGCAGCAGTTACTGCCCTGGTTCTGCCCTGCTCTTTCCTGCCCTGGCAGCCTGGATGATACCCTGGGAGAACTGGGCCAAGAGTTTTTGAGCATGTTCTGGGTAGCAACGCTTGGAGCAGAGGAGACCAAACTGTATCCCATGCAGGTCGGACTGACGGATGCAGGCAGCCGCCAGGAGAAGGCTAGCAGGATGTTGTTACCTCCCTTGGGCTCCCTGCTGCTGTAAGGAAAAAAATCCTTCCTCTCCTTCTGCAGTGGGAAGCCGTGCAGCGATACTGCAGAGAAGAGAGCAGCGCTAGGCAAGGGCAGAGCTGGGACGGCGAGCCCTGGCCACAGGCTTCCTAGCTAGGGAAGCGGTCCTTACACTGTGACCAAGTTCACGATGAGACCTGTGATCAGACATCTGTTTTTAAACACTGATGCTGCTGAGTTGCAGAGGTTCAGGGTGGGGAGGGGGGTGGGGGGTTTTTTGTTTGTTTGTTTTAAAAAGAGACTGTGAACCTCTTTAGGTTGTGTGTTTCCAGCCTTAGGGAGTAGCTAGAGAAGGGTGTAACAGGCACTTCACAGTTCTGCTTCTGGGCTGGCTTCCCCCAGATTCACTAGGTGAATTGACTTATTATCATATTGATAATGTCCATCCCACCCGTGTCACTTGAGGTTCCCTTGCACCCCTTTGTCCCCTCTGCCTGTCCCAAACCCTATCCTGCATCCAGCAGTGGCGAGTTTGCGGCCGCGTTGACAAACAGGAGCTGATTTAGGCAGCTTAACCTAGTGGGTATAGCGCCAGATTAGGATGAAGGAATGGTGCTGGCCTTGCTTTGAAAAGCACTCTGAGCTCTGCAGATCAGAGCTACTGACGCGTCCAGAGTGGCTTGTCGCTGAGCGTCATCCTTCGTTTCCTGCCTGCGCAGGTGGCCGCGAGGTGCATGTGATGGGCTCACCGCTGTCCTGCCACCTCGGCTCTGCGCTGCCCTGCCCTGGGAGCAGGGGCTCAGGCCCTCCACACCTTCCTTTCCACCCTTGTTGGAAGGCAAAATGGAAGGTGTGCCAGTGTATCCGCAGAGCTTTCACTCCCCTTCCTACCCATCTAAAGAGATAAGCCACCTCAGCCTTTAGGGCTGCAGGCATATCAGCACCATCCAGCAGCATCATAAGGTAGTTTGATCACTGGCTGCTGGTGCCTGGTTGTAGTTCCCAATTTGCCTTAGGTAAAAGCTGGATTGTATTCCTCTTATGCTCCTAACAGTCGTCACTGAGTCCCTAGGTCAAAGTGTGGCACTACCAGTATCCTTGTAGTACCCTTGGAGTCCAGAGGGGATCAGCTGGAAAGAGGTGGCAGAGGATGCAGTTGGCCTGATTCCCTCCCCTTGCCCTCCCGTGGCTGCCGTGGCACCTTCGAGGAGAGATGCACTCTGCTTTATCCCGTGCAGCAGTGCCTCTTGTTCAGGTGGACAGTTGTTGTAAGTCACTCTTCTCTCTGTGCGGCTGGTCCGCTTCAAAGCAGCGTGGTCTGTTCCGGCAGGGCACCCCGGCCACGTCTGCAGCACCTCGTGGTCATTGCCCACACTTTAGGTGGCTGCTGTGCTGTTTTCCTCAGTAGTCAGGAGGAAATCCTCTACCTTGGGCCCCTCCTGGGGTATCTCTGCTGTGTTCAGGCTCGAACCTAAATAATTGTGATCATTGTCTGATGGCGTCTCTTGAATGACTGCCAAGTATCTCGAGGTGTTGCAGGCCTGTGGTGCTCTGAGACATGCAGGCAAGGCAGCAATCAAGAAGAGCTGTGTCCTTTGCCACAGCTTCACAGGACAAGTTCTGGGTTGAAGTTAAGAGATGACAAGCCTCCTATACTGGTGTTTGAAGGGAGAGCTGCTACCTTTCCCTGCTGAGAGCTACAGCCCTGTCTAAGTTGATGTGGAAAAATTAAATCCTTTGAAGGGTGGCATATGTGTTGCCTGTTCTCTCTCAAGGAAGTATTTGGAAAGCACCATATCATTGGCAGCTTTCCACAGGGCAGAGGGCAGCTTTAGCCCTGCCAGGGCTAAGTCATGCCTGGCAGGAGCAGTTCAGTGGTGTGCACAGATGGGAAGGCCTTTGCACTGGAGGCGAGGAGGGAAATCTTTTGACATTGTCCCCTGGGGACTACCTCACAGTTGCAGACTATGGCTGGGAGGTCATCTGTGTTTCAGAGAGCTGAAAACGTGGTAAGAACTGATGCCTAGCTTCCTCAGAGCTGGTACAGGCCCCTCGATACGCCATGGAGATCGTGAGTCTGTGTTCTTCTCGTTTCAATTTTAACCCTGTTTCTTGCCAACTGAGTCAACTGTGAGAAGTTTGCAACCCAGAGATTCAGGAGGTGCAATGTCCCTTGGAGAAACAAGGCTCCTTGCCGAGAGGTACCTAAAAGCTCTCGGAAGGGATTCTCCCAGCTGCTAGGGGAGTTTTGTGGGACAGGGGACCCTTCTGCCACCGAAGGGCTGTGCGGGAGAAAGTGCCTGTCTCTAGCCTGGGCAGGCCAGTACCAACCCTTGGGGAAGGAATGGAGCAGGCGGGAGAATGAGAAGGGAAGGTGACAGCAATTGAGCTTGTATGGGGTTTTTATCTGTGTTTCCCTTTTCCATGTCTGGTTAGAAGCTCAAGTTCCATCTCAGTATTTTAATAACTCAGGTGTTGTAAGAAATACTTGTTGAAACAAAGAACATAACTTATGTCATGTGAGTTGTAAAGTTATTTGTAAAATTCCATAAATAAAATATATTCTGTAACGACCGAGGATTATAAGCGTGCTCTGTGTGCTATGCGATCTGAAAGGTGAGCGCGAACACGATAGCGGAGGAAAACATCCCTGTGGCAAGAGCTATTCCGGTTGCGGAGCAGCCTCCCTGGGGAAGGGGTGGCAGCTCTGTTATTTCAGATTTTTTCCAAGTCGACGGAGTGGAGTCGAGCCAATCCGGCTGGGGTGATGCAATAGGGCCTTTCCAGCGGCTCCGGGCGCGCTGTGCAGTGCGGCGCGCCGATCGGGAGATGGCACTGAGGCCCGCTGCCGCGTCCCTCCTGCCCGGCCGGGCGCCTTCGGCCCCGCCGCTCCTGCCCGCCTCACGGCCTGTGCTTCACGCGGCGGCCTTCAGAGTCGAAAAGCCCTTTTCCAAGCGTTATTGATGTATCGGGGCGGCCGCCCGCGATGGTTTCGGCGTGTGGGCTGCGGGCTGCGCGGTGTATTCCCCTCTCGCTCGCACGAGGGAGCCTGACTCGCAGCGGCTGCGTCCTCGCTTCCCCTTCATCCGAACAGAAGCACGGTTCGCCGCGGTCTGCTTCGCGCTCTCCCGGCCTTTTTATACGCTCAGCCTGAAGGCGCCCGATCCCAGCGGCAAATACGGTTTTAGGAAGCCTGTTTCCGCTAAAGCAAACGAGGCTTGAAATGCTGTGGTGGTTTCGAAAATGAATAGTGCCTGCCTCAGCAAGAAAAGTTACGGTATAAACGTGACCCCGTCCTGTTGGAGAGGGCTGTAAAGGGCTCTGGGCACGCTGTCGTGCAGGAGCTCTGGGTTCCCATCCTGCTCCCCTCTACTTCAGACGAGACAGGGCGTTTGTGCCGTGCTTTTTTTTGCTGCAAAATCCTCTTGTTTTTCATGAGTGTATGTGACCTTAACCTTTCTGCTGAGATGGGTAACTGAATCCCGCGATCGTGGCTTGTTTCTGACAAAACTTATCCCTTAGGCAAAGTGAGAGTTTTGTGCTATTTCAAGTATGCGCGTAGCGGTTTTTTTATTTAGTCGCACATATGCCGAGGAGCGTTGCAAGCTGTTAGGTGCAGCGGGGCCCGGCGCGCTCTGTACTCCGAGTACTTGATTTCCCAATCTGCGGTGCTTGAGGGGTGTGGTGGCGTTTTATTTTTACCCTCTGTTTCCTCCACCACCCCCAGCAGCGGGGACGCAGCCTTTAAATAGGCCGGGCGGCAGCGGGAGCTGGCACTACCGTTTCCGCGGCCCTCGCCTCCAGGGCGCCGGGGGGTTTGGGGGCC